CCCCTCTTTCTTTTTCTTTCTACGGCTCTCGGTTCTGGGTTGGCGCTACTGCGCCCTCCATCTGTTTGCCCTTGGGTCTCGGCCCCCGGTCTCCAACTCTCCAGCCCCTTCCGCCCAGGTCTTCGTCTCAGCGACTGTTCTTCAGCAGCAAGGAAACTTGGAGGTGGAGATCAGAGGAAGGGGCGCTAGAAGGAACAAGAGCAGGAACGTCGTGGGTCGTTCACCTCTCCGTGTCTGGGGAGGATTTTTGTATGGCCGCGGGTGGGCTCTTTCCTCCGAGGCCTCCCTAGGGGGTAGACACTCTTACAAGGAGACATTTGTTCATTCAACAAGTATTTATTGAATGCTTACTGTGTGCAGTCGTTGATATAAAGGAGTGAACAAACGGATATTCCTGCCCTCGGGGAGCTTCCGGTCCACCTTACAGAAAGACACGCACTTACAGGGACTCGGACCCCTCAGAGGCACGCCGAGGCACCCCCAGACACAGAAACTTGCTCTTAGCCTCATCCAGCCACACTATCCTCCCAGAGGGGCACAAACTCGAGTTCCAGCCCCTCAGGCGCGCTTAGAGACCCACCCGAGTTAGAGAGCCACTACTGCGGAAGTGCTCACGAACAACACATTTACACTTGACCACTATGCACGCACACACACGACATAAACTCACACACAGCACCGGAAAGAATTAAAGTCTCTGAAATGCGGTCTGAGGAAGAAGTGAGGGGACGTCAGCCCGAAGGCGTCATCCCCAAGACGGGCGTGGGCAAGGGGGACGAAACATAACCCCCCTGCTTCCTAAAGGGGGGAGTGGACGCCCGCAGGGACCAAAGGTCACACTCCCTCAGCGTGAGATGGGGTAGCGGAGGGGAGAAGGCAGCCCTGGGGGCTTCAGCGACACTTCAAAGACGTCGGGCAGGGAACGCTTCCTGCGGGGGAGGGGCAGAGGGAGAAGATCGGGGAAAACCGGCAGGAGGACTGAGGGTGGAGGAGGCTGCCCCCTCTTTGCCGCAGGCCCCCCTGGCCGACTCTTCCGCCGGGACCGCCTCCTTTTCACCAGCACCTGTTCAACCGGAACATCAAGGGGCTGGGACCCGCCGCCACCCCTCCCTTCTCGTCTATTTAGTACCTTTCATCCGGGAAGGGGGGGTGAATCCCCGCCCAGGAGTGGGGAGTAGGGCGGGGGAGAACTTGTCCTTGACCTGGTCTGTGGCGTCAGGGATTTACTCCCTTAATCCCCGCGAGGCTGGAGTTTGGGGAGGTCGGGGAAGCTGGTTTCTGGGCTGCAGCCTCCACCTCCCCACACTCTTGCAGGGATACTGGAATCCGGAGGACTGCCAGGGCGAAAAGGCTTGGTCTAAACGGCGGGGCGGGGTGGGTGGGGAGAGGCCTATTATGCCGCTTCCGCGCCTGGGGTAGGGGGCCGAGAACCAAGGGATTGTCGGGGGCCGGTCCCAGGACCGGGATCCCCGCGAGGACTGCCAGGCGCCGATATCTTGGACTGCTTTGTTAAACTTCGCTCATACGAAAAGTTGACACAGACCAGAAGTCTCATTTAGGAGTTTGTAACGAATTACCTTTACGGACAAGAGTAAAACATCAAGGGAATTAAACGCAAAAATGTCAGCCCCATCCATACGCCAGTTTCGGAATATTTGAATATTTGATTTCGGGACCGACCTCTCGAGGCGACCGACTGTAGTTTCGGGTTTCGCTGGACGAGGGTCACTCTAAGGCTCGTCGGTCCCTGCGTCCAGGGGTGGGCGGCTTATGGAATGGGGCCGAGGAGACTTTGTTCGGGCGCTCACCCCGTGCGGGAAGACTGCCCGAAGTTTGTGGAATGAACTGACGAAGATACTTGCGCGTTTAGTAAGTGTATTAGGAACAGTTTCGTTTAAACCACCCACAGCCCTTTGGGGGTGGATATTAATAACCCCGTTTTAGAGATGGAGCAACTGATGGTCGGGCAAATGAAGTGACTTGCCCAAAGTCACACAGTCAAAGCTACAGAGCGGGGATTTGAACCCAGTCTGTCCTCTACTAGGGCTGGGGCTCCACCACCACGTGTTCGCCGAATGCCTGTGTCGAACTAGGATGTCCGCCCATCGCAAATGTTCCTTTCTGAGGTCTGGGGAAACCGGGTGCCCCACAGGCTAGGCTGGATTCTCGGCGGGTACTTCCTGGGCTGAGCTGTCAAACTCCATCTCCATCTTCCAGCATCTTCCTGAGCACCTACTATGTGCCAATCCAGGAAAAACCAGAAAGAGCAGGATTCGGCCAACAAGTGGTTCAAGTTCATCTTGCTCTCCCTGGCGTAATGGAGCACAGATCTG